TGTGTCAAAGGCTTTACTGAAGTCAAGGTTTTGCTGGATAGTATTCTCTGTTCCTTACAAAAGTGATTTTTCCCCCCTACCCACTGAATAATCTTTGCTATTATGAAGTATTTAATTCTCAGTTAAGTGATTCTTTCTAGATACTTCTTAATACCTTCTTACTAACAGCAAAAGGCAGATATTATAGCCAGTAATGTATTTTCTTAAAGAACTGAAACAATAAACCAAACCCAATCTCCAAAAAGCACACATTCTTCACAGCAATTATTGGCATGCAAAGAAACCTCATTAGTGTTCAAATTTATTGAGATGTACTACAGTTTAGTTTATCACTAAGTTAGAAATCAATATATTCTTACAGTCCTTTCCCTAGACTAGATCAGAAGACATTAAGGGGATGTTTTGTTTTGTTCTTTTTTAAAATAATGTCCTGTGCATAATATTTTTTAACCTTATAGATTTTTTTTTCCCAGAAAATATTACTGTAAATAAGGATGATCATATTTGTGATTAAAGTAGTTTGAAAACTGCATCACTATGGGATTACTAGAAAAAAACCTCATTTTTAAAATGTAAGCCTACATTCAAATATGCAATACTTCGTAATATTTGGTCAATTATCGAGACAGAATTTATTTGAGAGAGCGACTTAGAGCGAGCGCACACAAGGGAGAGCAGGCAGGGAAAACAGAAAATAAATTAAGTGGCCAGCAATGCACACAACATACACTTTGGTCTGGTGCTAAAGGCAAGCTAAAAACCACAACGCAAGTCTGGCCTGGTATGAGACAAGAACTGGGTTTCATTAAATTGGCAATTCCTCAAACCCAAGAATCAACAGCTGTTTTACAAAACATTTTGAATTTCCAAACTGCACCCCACTGAGGCAGCATTTTTGTGTTGGATGAGCAATGGAATTTGGAGTGTTCCATATCCTAAAGCCTGACAAACAGCACAGAGGTGGATTCAGAAGACACTGCTGTAAACAACTACATACATACTTTCTTCATGAGACTCAAAGATTTAAGAAAGTTTTGACAGACCCCAGAGTTGCTTTTATATGAAGTTTTCCACTTCTGTCAGAGTAGAATCTGACCAACTGTTACCTTGAGGCTTGTCAAAACAGATCAGTCCATTATTCCAGGCAGGCCAGGATGAACTGAATTGCTGCACAGGTGCCTTCACCCAGTCACAGTGCTGTTATTTCACAGTTGCAGTGACATCCGTTTCAGGCAGACACAGCTGATTCGGAGAGGAAGGCAGCAGTGCAGGAACATTCAGCAGAAGAGATGTTGGCAGGGTTTTACTGTCTCCAGGTTCTTTGCTCAGAACGCTAGATCAATTCAGAGTGTCAAAAGAGATGGCTGAACTAAACCTCTCTCAGATCATAAATATAAAAAAATATAGATTCCTTATGAATATAAGCTCATATCTTTAATTATTTTCTTTTCTAAAACCAAGTAAAAAAACAGACACATTTTCATAAACAACAAAGGTAATACAGCAGGCAGGAGTCACTCTGATCACATTGGCGATAATTCCTTTGTAAAATCCATGAATTCCTTCTTTCCTTTAAAAGACAGAAAAAAAATAGTTTCAATGTCTTTTAATAAAAATCAGACATAAGACAAAGCCTGGCATTTTTCTACTCATGCTCTCTCACTGAGAGAGGTACTTCAGGTTAGGAATAACAATTTCAAAATGATTTCTTCCTACAGTATTTTAAGAGCCATAATATATCCATTATTAACCCACCATTTTCTACTCTGAACATAGAATAATATCCTGTAGGTCAGTTATTTAGCCTAGGGTTTAGGTGTTTCTTTGTATTGGGGTTTGTTTTGTTGCTGTTTTGTTTTGAATTGTCTAAGCAGGAGGCAATTTACTATCTTTCTGCATGCCACAAGAACTGGTTAAAATTATTTAAAATTTCTGCAGCCTGTTCCAAAAAGCATTTATATACTTAATCTCACTGAAGCCAACACGGCTGAAAGGCTTGGTGGCTTTTGGTCATGTAACAGCAAGTGAGCCAAGAGTCAACATAACTAAGGAATGTCAGCATTCATTTTCAGAGAATTAAAAAACCTCCTCTATAATTTAAATTCCACTGGCCAATAAATGAGAATCTAACTTCTCCCAGTTTAAATCAGAGTATTCACACTAGGGCTGTTAAAAATTTTCAAAGATCTGTAATCTCAGCATCCTATTTTCCAGCTTCACAGGGGCCTAGGACACCTGGAGTGGAGTACAGTTAACACAGATCCTGAAAGGGTTTACGCTGCCCTCCCTAGGGCTCTATGATGGATTTGTTTCATAATGGGTACAGCACTGGCCACAGAATTGTGGTATACATTTACACTTTATCAGGACTAATAAGCCTTCCCATGCAGCACTGAAGGGCAGAGTGCCCTTCATCAGAGGTATTTTTGCTTTGAATTGGCTTCAGTCAAAATGGTTGTACTGCCTCTGGGCCAGAGCGCTCCTGGAACAACACAGCCTCATTCACTCATTCAGGTGGCAACTCAAGGAGTTAGGAGTACCCCAGGAGTTAGCTGACTCCATTCACGTCTCTCTAACAACATGCTGCAACCTAGAAACACTGTCCAAAGCAAGATTAATATTGGCTGCATGCTGCAAAGGTGGCCAACCTTAGTAACTACAGAGTTCTGTGTGAAAACTCCCACATGCCCTGTGGAGCTGAGGGAAGAGGGTTTGTGAGAAGATATGCATAGATGTGAGGTAATGGTTCTCTAAAGGTCCTATGGGAAACTGGGACAAGACTACAAATGCAGCCAGGCCCCAGAACAACCCAGGGACATCTGTATAAACAGCTCTGGCTAGCTCACTTCCTCCTGCCAGGAATTTGGATTAGCCACAACTCCCAGCAGCACAACACTCCTGTCGAATGTGATAATCTAAAGCAGTTCAAGTGAGACCTCATTGTTTAAGAGCCCCAGAACAGCAAACTCAAATGATATTTTTTTAACCCATAAGTGAAATTTGTTGGGGAAGAGAGAAGGGAGATAGAATAAACGACAGAAGCGGGCAGGCTAGCACTGACCCTCTCCTATCTCCTCCTTTGTCCTTAGACTATTGCTATTGGTGGCATCTTGCACAAAATGACTTTGTACAGCTAAAATTTTGCTTGCTCTGTGCAGCACTGGTTCTGCAAATCAGCAGCACAGAAGCCAGTAAACACAGTTCTGATTCAAGCCTACCTCCACGTCCTGCGGATCACATCAAACACACCAGAATATGTATTATGCTGATCTTGAAGACGAGCTCGCACAACTTGATAGGGATATGTTGCTGACACAGCGAATATTTTAGATACAGCTGCCATGACTATGTATTCCACAGTGTTCTAAAACCAACAAAAATTATCAGGCTTGCCTTAACCACAGATTAAATTAGCCCATTTCCCAAAACCTTATTTGATTTTTAAATATTGAACTAAACAATACTCTAGACTACCTTTTTCCCTTTATAATAGCCCCATTTTAAAAAAGGCAATGTTTACTACATACAGTGCTACAGGTAATTCATTGTAAAACATGTGTTTTGCCCTCACATTCCTATCAAGTGAAATGCTTTTTCCAAAAGTAACTACCTTTGCCCAACTTGCACCGGACCAGTGTTCCATGTAAGTGTTTAAGACCTCCACCTATGGGTCCACAAAGTAAGACAAAAAAACCATTCTCCCTCTAAAATTCTCAAAACATTTTCAAAGAAGTTGGTTTCCCTACAAAAAATCAGCACTAACTAGGTCTTGTCTCTAAAATGTGAAAAGCATTATTTCATTCTATATATTCTACATTGCAATTAATATATCAATACTTTATAAATTTGGCTGTTCTATGACCTAGACAAATGAAATAAATTTCCACTTGTTCACATACCACAACATATTTTTTTTCTCAATAATCTTACCAGTTTTGTATCTGATACTCTGTTTCTATACTTGTTGTATCTCAGTTTCAAATCCTCATATGCCATGAACTGAAGTGCTCCATGTGAAGTTCCAAACAGACCGGGCACAAATCCCTAAAAGCAGGAATAAACCAAGGTTAAACAGCAACCCCCAAAAACTATACAACTTGACCAAGCTCACCTTACACACATATGTATATCCACCATTACTTTACAAATTGTGACAGCACACATTTACTGTGCGGTATGACTCAAAGACCATTGTGGGTTGGCATCACACAGAAGTGCAATAAATGTTATTTTTCTCCAAATGACATACAGGCTAAAGACACCTAGTGAGAGAGTAAGATAAAACAAGTGGCCTAGGGACTCCACCTCATAGAGCACAAGCACAGGTCTTAAAAAGCTGGTAACACGATCAGGACTGTAAGAATACAAATCAAGCTGCAGTCTTGCAAATGAGCATCTTGGTGCCCGCCCCTTCCTTCCAGGAACTGGCACTAAGCTGTTTGGTTCCCACCTGAGACTGATAAGGCAATGACAGAAGCTGGCGTCACTTCAGTGATAAGGGCCATAAGAAGCAGAGGTACAAAAAAGTCTTAAGGAGATAGACGTGTGTGTGTGTGTATAAACATTTACATAATGGGTGTATCATAGAGAGCTGGGTTTCTTTAGCTTGGAGAAGAGGAGACTGAGGGGTGACCTCATTCATGTTTATCAATTTGTAAAGGGCGAGTGTCAGGAGGAAGGAGCCAGGCTCTTCTCTCTGATGTCCAATGACAGGACAAGGGGCAATGGGAGCAAGCTGGAGCATAGGAGGTTCAATCTGAACATAAGGAAAAACTTTTTCACTGTGAGGGTGACAGAGCACTGGCACAGGCTGCCCAGAGAGGTTGTGGAGTCTCCTTCTCTGGAGACATTCAAAACCCGCCTGGATGTGTTCCTGTGTGACCTGGTCTAGGTGATCCTGCTCTGGCAGGGGGGTTGGACTGGATGATCTTTCGAGGTCCCTTCCAACTCCTAATATTCTGTGATTCTGTATTAAAAATGTGTTTATATATATTATACACACAGACCCTTGCACAGTGGAAAGTTGATGAGCACAGATGAAAAGCTAACTCATACAAGGACCTATGGATGATTTACGTTAAAGAAACAAATCTAAAATTCAGATCAGTTGGAGTGCATTCCCCACAGTGCTCAGAGCTTATCCGAAGGCAGCCCAGCAGAGGTGACCAAAGGTGTAACAAAGCAGTCTGGGAAATGTTCCCTATTTGTAAGAGACAGTAATGGACAATAAGAGCCTAATATGAAAATATACAGAAACCTTTTATTACAAAGAAGTAAAGCTGAAGTGAAGGAGGGAAATGGGCATTTTTCAAAGTGTCTCTACAAGAAAGAGAAGGTATAAGTTCCTTCAGAAGAAGGACTAGCTCAGTTGAAAATGAGCTGACAGCTGCATGGGTTCAGAGAAGCACTAATTCTCTTCTTGAAGAGTTGGTCACTTGCACTGGAAAAATCCAAATAAATGGGAAATTAATCATCTTGGCCAGAAATGACTAAAAGGAGCCAAAAGCTTGCTGAAAATTGTGGCAAAGGGATAATTGTAGTGGAGTAAGTGGGTAAAAGGTCTCAAAGAATCAAAATCTCTCAAAGTATACTGGCTTCTTACAGTTTTATCTTATTTCCCATGATCCATTCAGGTAAGACAACGGAATTAAAAACCTGACCAGACATAAAACTCTGTATTAAGACTAAATCGGAAACCCAAAATGTGGAATAAAGACTTATCAATATACTACTAAGAGCCTGGAGAAGGAGAAGGGATCCTGGTAGGACTCCATTGGAATTTCTATAGTGTAACATGACAAAAGAATAAATCACTTCATAAACTCCTAACTAACAGAAAAAAAAAGTAACTAAAACAACAGCAGGCACAAAAATTGCACAGAGCTTCTAGCACTTCAGAGATTAGCTCTCTGGATGCTATAGATTTCTTAAGTTTACAATATGACAGTGATTCAGGAAGTGATTTTTAGGATCTCTTTGATAAATGAGGATGAATTTCGTCTCACAGGAGAGAAAAATGGTCATGAAGTAATTATCGGTGACCATGAACTGATGAAATGCATAAAGGGCTAGCTGAAGTCCCAGAAAAAACACTTCTCCAAATGAGGGCATGTGCAATTCAACCAAACATCTATATTTTGTCATATGTGAGCATAATGATAGAATTTTGTGAAGTTTGAAGCTTAAGGGCCACAACAGAGGGAAAAGGACAACTTTCATTTTCCAAAATCCTGGATCAGAAAACTAACCAGTAATATAAAAATAGAAGAGAAGGAACAGAGAAAAACAACATTATTGAAAATATCAAAGAAAAAGTTATCTGGGTCAGCAGAAAAATGAACAGCATGAACTTTATGTATAGTGATAGCAGGGAAAATCTTCACAAACATCTTCACAAAGACAGAGGAAATAACTGCTCTCTACTTGGAAAAAATTAGAATGATGTATTTATATCATAGGAGAATGAGGTAATATTTCCTCCACCAACAAAAGAGGAATGCTAAGCAACATTTAAGAATGCTAAATTCTTACATTTAAGCCAGCATATTTGGATAACTTGCACCCAAGAGTCCTAAAGCATCCACTGATGATACTTGCTAAATGAGTACCAGTGTGCTCAAAGTCTTGTGCTGGTAAGGAAAGCTTCCAAAGACTGAAGACCTTTTAATGTTGAGCCAGTATTAAAAAACACAAGAAGGGAGTGAGGCAACTGTCAGTCAATGTACCTCAGTCAAATAAGAGCTTTCCCAGGTTTCTATTGATCATAGAAAACAATGTGTTCTTATGGAAAAATGTTAAAAAGCACAACTGATTTCTCCATAGTAATGAAGTATCTTGGCTGAGGAAGTTTTTGAAATGTTCCTGTTCTGTCTTCTTATTCTTACAATTTTACTCAAAAATCATTCTTTCCACAAAATTTGATAGAATTTGGTATTCATACTATGACCGTGAAGATAAATTTTAAAATAATTTAACATTATGAATTTTGGGTTTTTTTATTTTAATATTCAAACATATCTTTAGAAGATTTTTGCCATGAGGGCTTGACAGAATCAATGGTTGCGTAATGAAGTCTTGCTTGAATTCTCTTTTGGAGGATGAGAAAAATAGATGGGACTAAATATATAATTAGAAATTTAAATGATATAGAATTCTGAACAGTAGACAACAGGAAAAAAAAAGTATTTTAAAGCTGGCTTAAACAGTTGTAAGTGCTGAAGATTCAGGACAAGAGAAAAATGTCCCCTTGGGTAGTGTTTCAAAGGTTGCCCATCACTATGAAAAGGAACATAGGCAAATGTGTACCGTGGAAAGCCTATGCTTCTCAGTAAAGAGGGGAACAAGGTTCATTGGGTGATGTGGTACTCGCATCGCTGCCTGAAGTGTTTGAGAGAGTTCACACCAGAGCAGCCTCTGCTATGTTTTGAAAGAATCCAGTAGATTTCCCTTGTAATCGGTGTAGCGTTGTCTTCATTTAGGTTCTCAGTGTGCCAAAGACCAGGAGTATCACATTGCCATTATCTCCCTATGCATCTTTATTCCTTCATGGTGAATGATGACACCACTTTTATGTGAAAGTTACTTATGCTTCTGTCTCTCTGTAGAATCTGGGACTAAAGTTAAAGCTAAGACGGCCAAGTCTCAGCGGATTTTGCTATATATAAGTACAAAGACATGGAAAGTCACTTAGCTTACAAACTGCACATATGCGAGAAGAAGGAAAAGAGCATACGCAAAAGCAAGCAAGCTAAGTGCCTTAGACATTCATGGACTGGAAAAAATACTTTATCCTCAGAGCACAGAATCTTGTCTATCAAAGGTGAAATGACAATATAGAAGTGTCCAATACATCTATTTCACTTGGCAACAAGCACATATAACTGCTAGGATTTTTTTGTTGTTGTTAGCATACTGCATTATTATTTTCAGTCGTGATGGCTCTACATCTTCCTTTAATCTCCTTAAATTTTCTGTACTTCCTGTTACTGCTGTCTGGCATTGCTTTATTTGTAATTGTTGCCTTTACATCATCTCTGAAAGAGCATGAAACTGCAAATACAAATACAGAAGCATGGAGGCCAGGAAAAATGTTAGTTGCATCCTTGATTGATGTTTTTACAGTCAGTCACTCCAGACTAGACACCTAACAATTTCCTAAGAGCTCAGAGATATTTTATGTTTTTCTGAAAGGGCCAACTCCTACAGTCTTACAACTATTTTACTATGCTTGGTCTTTCCTTCCTTATGCTTGAAAAGAACCATACAGCACTCTTAACATGGAGATGGTTGCACAACATTCAGCTTCAGGGCAAAGTAATTTTTAGAGCTCAGATCTCGAACAGATCTATAGGCATGTTCAAATCACATAACCCCAAGCTGTTCTGTCCCTCAGCCTGGTGTGCAGCAGAGCAGCTCTGTCCCCAGTCATCTGGGGGATGGAGGCCAAAGGACAAAGCCTAATGGATGGAAGGTGAGGACGATCACTAACTAAATGATTACTGGGATAATCAGCGAAGGAAAGGCTCCTTACTTTTCAAAACCAGGTCAAGTTCAAGATGAACAAGTTATTGAGGAACCCAGCTTCAGATGAACTATAATTTAATGAATTAACAATACCCAACAGAGCTAATAAGGATAGCTTTAAACCGTGCCAAAAAGATCGATGCATCCCGACATGACTAGTCTTGTGCCCCAACAGACTGAAAGGAATTGCTCAGACCAGTAAGAGCATCTTGTGCAATAGAGAGCAAGACCTAAAGTTGCTTGGACAGAAATATCATTCTTTAGAAGACTAATCTCAAATGAATCAGAAACTACTTCCAGATTTTATTCCCAACTTGTGTTGGTATTCTCTGAGATCCCTTTACTTCGTATAAGAAACTCTATCTGAAATTAAGATTACAAGGAAAAAGACGACATTAATGCGCACTGCAGCTCCTGCAACTCAGGGCAATTAACACCACTTCAGCCATCAAATTTCAAATAAAGCAAGAAAGAGAAAAAATGAAAACTCCCTCAAAAAGAAAAGCTAAAGTATGGACAAGTCAAAGAGCCACCTGAAGAGGTGCCTTTTTACCCAGTGTAGAGAAGGTTGAGAAAATCCAGACATCAAACGAAAGTTGCTCAGTGTGCGTAGTTAAGTAGGTCACTCAGGACCTATCTGGGCTCCCTTCTTTGCAGTTTTAAACAAGTAATTTGCGCTTTCAAATGAAGTACCTGGTTTAGTTACCCATTTGCAGATTAACACTACAAAGAAGTGTCTTGTCAAAGGCAACACATGCTACAGGCATGAATAATCTGAAAAGTAACTCAATGGAAGGACATCTTAAACCCTATCAGATGCAAGAAATTATAATTAATCTACATAGAACAGAGCAGACGTCCAGGCTGGCAAATCAGAAATCCTGACAATTTTAATCTAAGAGTAAGTAAGGAGCCTTGTTCCTGGTGTCAGAATTTGGTATTCATCGGTATGTGGCATACTAGTATTTCAGCATAGGAAGGATTATGTTTTTCACTGCAAATAAAAGAAGTTAATGTTCAGTAATCAGGGCAATTCCTAAGAGACAGTGTTCTTGTTCTACAGCATTACTTGCAGGAGAAAAGCTAGACTGAACTAAAATAGGTTTTTTCACACCTTCCAGGCACTGATGAATGCATCTTGATGTCATGGCCTGAAGGAAGAAGGAGACAAAAAGTCCAAATCCAGTTGCCATCTGTTTCCCTAAATTAAAGGGAATAAAAAACCCACATATATGCAGACCATATTTAGAAGTCTGCACATTTTATGGCTCTAGAGATGACAGATTACAGACCTCAATAACTAGAGGGCAAATGAGCAGTTGTGAAACTGTCCATTGTGGAAGAAAAATTAGCAACTACTTCAGTCATGTGCTATGTTCCACAAGATGTCAGAAAGAGAGAAGGGATGAAATGGAAGGAAGCACTAGTAGCAAGACCGATTATGCTGTTGCTGCCCTTCTTATCCAAATTCAAATTACAGGAAAAGTCCAAAAATTAAAAAGCGGCTTGTAGATCACTCTCATTTCAGCATTATCAGATGCTGAACAGAAGATGGCTTAGCCATAAAGCTTACATTCTGCTCCTTCAGTGATTTCCTACATTACAACAGTGCAACAGTGTTTCTTCTGATAAAGCCTTTTTGCTTCAGTTCTTCAGCAGGCAAGAGAGA